GGGGGCGGGGGGAAGCATCCTTGTGTTCTTATTACTTCTGCAATTTGAAAACTTCCTGTTTCTACTGATGTGGCAGCTTAAAACACCAACAAACATTACGGTGAGCATAAGTACTTCTTTAAACCATATAAGATAAAGGCTTTAAGTGAAGGTTCATGGGTGGATAGGGCCAAATCAAAATTTTTGAAGATCAAGCACCATCATAGCTGGTGAATGTGCAGGGAGCACAGGTTCTAATGGCCAGAAAAGCAAAGGCAAGGAGCTATGTAGGCAGAGAGATTCCTGAACAGCAAAACCTGCCACTGCATGCTTAGAAGAAACAGAAGTGGTTGGGTACCCTCTACCTTTTACACTCCTCAGCAAAAGGGAGAGCAGCGCATGAGCACGTTCATTACAAATGCTTTGAAGTACAAAACCAGTTACCATGGGACTGGATGTACGCTTAGTCACAATGCAGATGTACCTACAGGCGATTGCTCAAAGAGTAGTTTTTTTCTTCTTTGAGTGACAGACTCCACAAATGCACTTTTTGGGTATCTAATAATTAGTTGTTTAGTTATTTGAGATGGGCAGCAATATCCCACTCAGACAACTGCCCAGGAGCCAAATCAGATCTGGACATTCTTCAAACACATATCAGAGCTTTATTAAGTTCTCACGGGAAAGCTGAAACAGGATTATGTACATGATGAGTTCATAATACATTCTTACATATATGAAGATTCATTATGTCAAGAGCATAGGCCTTGTGCTTGGACTAGCATAGCCCACTTATCAACTGCCCAGAACATGAGGGTGTTAATTTTGGATGCAACCTGCAGGAAAGCTGAGCATGTAGGTGTTCCAAAGATAAACAAATTGCTGAGTCATAGTTTGCTTTTGGTGTGAGAGGAGACTCAGCACTGTCAAGAATCAAGGGTAAGATGGACCTTTCAGCTGAGGTTCTGCAAAAGGGGTGGGTTTGAGAAATAGAAAAGACAGGGTTAAAGAAAAGGAGTTGGCATTCAAGATCTGTTTTTAAGTGAGATTTTCGACCACCACCATAGGAGGGGAGGTTATATTTCTTGATTTGATGAACATGTTGAAACACATTCCCTGGCTCATTTGGATATCCTAGATAAATTACGGTATGACAAGTTTGACATGAATAATCTTGAGGTTACTATTCTAATGGAATATATAAATTGGATAAAGACATTTCATGATCAATTGATAAAATACAAATGTACTTAATAATACAGCTACTGCAGCTGCCTAACATTGGAATAAATGCAGCTCACGCTTTTGAATTTTCCATTTTTGACTGGGCTTTTCTTTTGACTGGGCATGCACGTGTGTATGCACACATACACATGCTAATTTATAAATAAAATTTCAATACACTCACATAATAAATTAACAGTTTCATGTGAGGATACTGGATTGGGACTCATTAGATCTGGATTATATTTCTGGCTTTCTTTAGGAGACCTGTTTATCTCAAGGACATAACTAACTCTTGTGGCTCAGAATCCCACTGTGAATCACACAGTATTTTGTTACCTCATAGGAATGTTCTAAGGTTCAGTTAATGAACGCTTGAAAGACACTCAAGTATCACAATGAGTAAGTACTTGCCATCTTCTTCAGTGCTATGTCTACCAAGTCCTTAATTCCCTCATCAGGATCTTCTTCTGATGGTTGTTTGAGAAGGCTGTTTTTCAGCATTTGAAACATTTCCTCTCTTGAAATGTATCCATCACCATTCAGGTCGTAAACCTCAAAACAGTCTTTTTGAAAGACAAATCAATTTAAAGTTTATACAAGCTGTATCACACACCATTAAAGCTGCCTGTTACCTATAGACAGAAAATCTGAATTGTATGTTGTACGGCATATCCACTGAGCCACGTTTACCATATATAACATTTATATACGAAATACACGTATCACATTTTGATACTAGTCAATTATTGCCTATTTACCCTTCATAGTCAAAATCTATTTCTCATCAAATAATTAATCTTCAGTTCACAGAAACCACAGTAACTTACAGATCGTAACTTCTGTAAAATTGTCAGTTTAGAATATAAATAAGGTTCTGGCTTAGAAGCCCAATTTCCCATGGCAGGGTCCAGCTGTCTATATCAGAAGGGCTTTGTACCTACAAAACACATCCTAGTTATTTCAGAAGCTGAGTTAGAAAAGTAAAGGTAAGAGAAGAATGAGCTGTATCAGCATGGAAAAGACAACTGAAGTATCCCTTAAAGCAAAGAGAAAATCTCTGTGACAGAGTATATTAGGTATGAGTATCTGCCTAATTTATTTTCTAATTGTTTCTACCTCCCTGGAATCAGAAATCTAGGACCATAATAAACTTTTCTCTCCTTCACAAAACTTATTTAAACAAACAAACCAACCAACCTCTTTCAGTTTTGGAACACAAGAGGTTTTTTTCTGCCAAAGACTAAGCCTACCGTGAAAAATTGTGCTGGCATACATTTATGACAGACAACATTGTATACCACTACACACCAGTATATTCTATAGCGCTTACAGCAGGGCTGCATATTTTACTGCTTGTGGTAGTACTGACGGACTGACCTACATCCCAGGCCACCTTCCAGTGCAATGCTTTATGATGAATTTATACAAGACATTAAGGATGGCTGATGCTGCAAACTGGGAACTATGGAAACAACATGCTGTCACTCCCCTTTCTCTATTATACTTTCCACCCACCTTATCCTCCCCTTTATTCCCCCCCCCCCCCCCCTTCTTAAAATTCTGGAGTTCTTGCTATTTTTTCTCTCCTATCTTTCTCCATCATTACTGCGGAGGTTCTCATGACCATCTTACAGACAGACTCGTTTTTTCCATCTATGCTTCCAGGCTGAAGAACTGGTAGAACTAATGCAAACGCTGCTGTGTCTGCAAATGCTGCTGTGTCCCCATTGTGCCAGTAAATGAATGTTGGCACATGTCTTGGTTGGTTTGAGACTGTGTTATTCAGCCAAAATCACACTTGAGCTACATCTGCTTCTTTCTAATTTTGTGTGTGAATACAAAAACATATATTCTGTCAAAAAACCTGTATACCATAGAACAAGCTTCAGTTCAAAAGCTAGTGTTTGTCAGCAAAAAAATAAGGTGGCAGCTGTGATAACAGCAGTTTACACAGAATAATCTCCATCTCACAGAAGCCATTCAGTATTCAGTTTCATTGCATTAAACTACACAGAAGAAAACTCTTTGATTACCAAATACTTTATAAGAGTAACTACTAAATTATAACAAAAGCAATGGGTAATTTAATAGTCATAAATTCCATGACTGCTACTAAATAGTAGCATGCAGATAAACCTTACATTTAATCCTTTCTTCCAGTGTCCCCCGAAGAAATACCGATAAGCCTTCCACCCATTCCACCACACTGATGCAGCTATCGTTGTCTCTATCAAAAGTGCGGAACACTGAAAAGTGTATTAGATGCATTTTAAATTTATATAATAGGGAAACACAAATATTTTCTTAAATTTAATGAAAATATAAAAACACATTTTTCTAAAGATGTTTCTCTGCTTTCATCAAGGTATGATTACCCTTCTTGAATTTTTCTAAGCTGTAACAACAAAGGGGATTTCATCCCTCAGTCTACTGATCTTCCACTCCAGCATCCTGCTGGGATAAGATGTTTTGTTTCACCTGTTGCTTTCCTGACTTAAACAACTACAGAAGTCTGCTTCCATGCAGACATAAACCAAATAAACCAATATCCCTTACACTAAGGCACATTTGCATGTAGAAAAGGATTTTAATTACTAGGTTTTGTCTCAGAAAATCTTGGAGAAAGTAATCCTAGAAACAATACATAAATATTTTAAATATGCAAAGAAAAATAACCTTCTCTTCTCTTTCATATACCAAGATCTTTTTTCTTCTCCCTTCCCTGAAATAAGAAACTTTCACTCTTGCACCTTCACTATTCATACAGCCTGTAATATAGTACTTCAAATCCAAGATATAATTCAAAGCATCAACTAACATCTATTACTAATTCGTATTTTAGAATGTGAATTAGTAAGTTGGCTACAGGAACACCTCTACATGCAGAGCCAAGCATTTTGGAACTGGAAAACAATAGCTTTGCTTTTGCAACTGAAACCAGCCCCCTTGTATGTAAGCATTAAAATAACTTTGAAGAACGTGTCCATGTAAGGCATTCTGCAAGACACACTTGACTTCTTGCATAAAAGAGCATTTAAATACCCCTCCTGCTAGAGAATGGGAGAAAGTTGAACTAAGAGGTGGCTCTTGGTGGCCTGAGACTGAAAAGAATGGCAGGCTCATGCCTCCTCTAGACACCTGTACATCAGAGATCATTCGTGCGACTTTCACAGTAACTGCAAATGTGGCTCTCGTTAACCTGTGAAATCACCGTATTTTCAAGGGGTTATTTCGCTCATTACTCTCATCTCCTTGTATTGTCTGCCTCGTCCCTTCAGTGCTATTCACAGCACCTCTATTCCAGAAGTTACCCACTCTAACAGAATGCCTTTCTGGGACCTCCAAGCCTGAGACAGAGCCGTCCACCAGCAGCAGTGACTGCAGCTCCCGGTGGAACAACCGGAGAAAGAGGAAAGTGACACCGTGCTGCCCTCTCCTGTCACGATACTACAGTGACTGGGACAGAGACAGTGACCGGGATAGAGACAGCCACAGGACAGCACTACCAGTGCCCCTCTGACTGGTCGCCCTCGTACAAGGGCGGGAGCTATCCTGTACTAAGGGAAAACTATTCTGCATAAAGGTAAAAAAAAAAAGATACCCTTTAATTAGCAGCTCCTGAGCGTAACTTTTCCCTTGCTGTCCTTATAGGGATGAGATGGCACTATTTTGTCTAGGCATGCTCCTCGGGTCAACAAGGTAAAACTAAAACCTTACACCTTTCCTAGTCCCATCGGTCTCACCTCTGTCCATGATCATGTCGTCTGTCATGCCAAACGCGCCGTGCAGAGTGTCCCTGAACATGTTACGGTCAAAGCCGGCCACAGCGAAGCGGTTGCTGGACTTGGCCATCAGCGTGTCGAAGAGCTTGATCAGACATTCCACTTCGCTTTTATTAACTGCCCAGTCAAAGCACAAGCGAACGTATTTTAGAACCTAACTTGGTAAAAATACACCGCAGGCTCAGGGAAGCTACAGGGCCCGGGCACCTCAGGTGTCAAGTTAAAGCGACTGCCCCGCACCCCTCCGCCCCGTACCTGCTGTTCCTAAGGGG